TCATGGAATTCTAGATTTTAGACCAAATTCCTGCAGTCTGCCCCAACCAGTCCTTGCACTCAACTTCATATTGCATTGCGGCATTTCATCTTGTATATACCCAGATGATTTTCATCTGTCACATCAGCACAGTCTCTTAATTCTTCTATCATCACTTGTTGTTGTGCACCCTTTTCCTGCCTTTACCAGTGTGGTTTTGTAATGACTGAGTTTCCTTATGCCTTTTCAAAAACTTAGAAATGCCACCTTTGGTTAAGTTTCCACCAGTTTTTCTTCTAATTTCTTTATAACTGTAGCCTTGTTCACTTAATAATACTATTTTACATCGCTTTCTGGGCGACCAGTCAACTCTTTGCACTATTACTTTAATTTTATTATGCTTTACAAGCTCACTAAATGAAAGAACACAAAAAACCTCTACCAACTTGATACCGATCACATAACACACTGACAAATGTCCTTCTCTCGGCTTCAATACATGACATCAATAACTGAATCCTACTGTGATCTGATTGGCTCATTGCCAAAACAAGATGACACCTAATTGGCTTTCTAAACACTCATGCTCATTGGCTAACAATCAGATGAAGGAAAGCTACCTGATATCAACCTAAGCAAGTTGTGCTTCCTTTTTCTGGTTATTTGGCTATAACTTTTCATAGAATACAGATAATTGAACAAACTTTGTTGCATTACATTCTTGATTAAATTATCTTTCTATAATTGTATAGTACTATTCAAAAAAAGTGGTGTTATTAGCCATCAAACCTCAAAAATACACTTTTCCCAAATTAATTCGACTTCTCTTGGAATTTAGAGAATAAAGTTATAAACAGGGGTCCCTATAAAAATGGCAATATAACCAGCAGTGTATGTCTTCTCATATATTGATATTGGACTGATTGGACTGCAGTTGCCTAGACCAGGGGTCCCCAACCACTGGTCCGCGGACCGGTACCGGTCCGTGGAACAAGTCCTACCGGGCCGCTGGTTTGCTGGGCGCCGCCATCTTTTTTTGATGAAAAAGTGCTTCCGGTGAGCTTTTCCGGGTAGAAAGCTCACCGGAAGCACTTTTTCATCAAAAAAAGATGGCGGCGCCCAGCTAATGCCGGTACCGGGCCGCGCCATAAAAAAGGTTGGGGATACCGGGCCGCGGCATAAGAAAGGTTGGGGATCACTGCCCTAGACCATCCTTATCATATTTTTGAAGAAAGGCATGCCTGTTCTCCAGGAATTTTCAAAGATAATTATATAAAAACTAACCGATAACTTGGCATTGCCCGGGCATTTTTTTAGTTATCCCAATCCTGTATTAGACAGGAAAATCCTGTAGTCTGGACTCACGCTGTTGTATTGTCTCTCGTGCAGCATCACACGTCTTCTATTCCTCTCCTCGGGAGTTTCTTGCCTACTCTGGTATTTCATTTTTTTTTATTGCACTTGGCCAATTGCCTGACGTTTCCTTAGAGAGCTGAGAGGGAGTTCCTTTGTGGACTACTTGAAGTCGTTACCATGGCAAGTCCACTGTGTTGTACAGTAGAAGTCATTTTAAGGCACACACCCTCTCCGAGAGGTGTTAGGGGTGTCTTACCCCCACAGTATTTGTTTCCAGAGGGTAAGTCATCTGTGTACCAACTTTGGTTGAAATTGCTCAAGGTGTTCCAGAGTTATGCTGGAACACACACACACACACACACACACACACACACACGTGTGTGTGTGTGTGTATGTGTATAATAAAAATAAAAAATTCAGCCAGAACATTAACACGTCCTATTAGTGCCTTAAAATGTATGAAAGATGTCCATGAAATTTGAACTCAATCAATATATATGGTATTCCCTGACCCTATTTCTACCAACTTAATATGTCCCTTTGGTGTGCACAATTATTTGGTAGAATACCTATCTTATTTTTGAAGACTGACCAAAAATGGATCAATTATCCCTTTCTTTGTTACCTTTAAACTTGTGCCATCTTCACTGAACATATGGCATACTTTTTCATTACTTTATTTTGAACATAATTAAAGAAGCCCCTTTTGTATCCTTTGCCAACCTTAACTCTTAAATATCATTTTTTAAAAACAATTTCTGCAGTTCTAACTTACCTGCTGTCTTGATTTCTTCTCTTTGTAAATTCTGTATGTATCTTTTAAAATTTGTTTTATTTATAGTCCCAGACACATCAGTGTATCTTTTTCCCTCCCAAATTTTTTATAGCAGCCACATTGGCTTTTTCAGTATTCTGTTTTTCTCTTCTGTGAATTATTCATTATCCTGCTTCTAGTACAGTCTGTCTTGTGTTTCTTTTCCCCTTAACTTTTTCTTGTGCAGAATGTTCCTTAGTATTACTTTATATTTAATTAAATTTGCTTTTCTAAAGCTAAAAATGGGATTTTGTTTATATCCAAGTCTAATTTAAAGTCAAGAACTCAGGCATTACATAATCAGTTTTCCCAACATTTCTGATATTTCCAATTCATTGATGCTACCATCTTCCATTAATGATAACTGATTTGAGCCTTCTACCACAGGGGTCTCCAACCTTGGCCTCTTTAAGACTTGTGGACTTCAACTCCCAGAATTCCTCAGCCAAGCTGGCTGAGGAATTCTGGGAATTGAAGTCCACAAGTCTTAAAGCGGCCAAGGTTGGAGACCCCTTTTCTACCACACTCTGGAGGATAAAGTTATCAGTAAGAGAGATCAGGGAGAATGCTGGAAGTGCTTTTTTATTATCTTACTGGCCTCAGTTACTTCACTACAGCTCTTCTGAGTTCCAGACTCTTGTTTGTGTTGATTAGAGCAGGGGTCTCCAA